GCAGGTCTTCTTCTGGCCCCAAACCCGCGAAGACGTCTTCTGAATTGAACCCGACGCTCGAAACCGGACAAGCGCAGTGCCACGTCGAGGGGCAGATGCCCGAGTTCGTCACGAGCCTGGGGGCTAGCTCGCGCCCGCACCAAACACGTCACCCAGTTCAGGCTGCCTCTTTCAGCGGCTTGATGAAGCAGATGAAAGTTCTCCGTGTAAGGTCGCACTGTAGCACCGGCTCGCAGCAAAGAGATTACCGGACCGATCGAAGAATCTATGAAGCACCTTTCGATGGGACCGCGACCTTTGGCATCCTCCTGAGAAGCGTCCGCCGCATTTCGCAGCAGAAGCCGCACCATCGATCTCGAACCCATCGACGCGGCAATGAGCAAAGGAGAGTCCATGTCCCAGTCTCGGCGATTGACATCTGCTCTAGCGGAGATCAACGAGGTCGCCACTTCCACGTTGTCCACGCTGCAGGCGCAGCAGAGAGCCGTGCTTCCTTCCGTCTCCAACGTAGCTCCTGAGGCAAGAAGGCTCTCCACTATGGGGTGGCGCATGGTAGGAATCATCGAAGCGAGACAAAGCGGAGTATAACACCCTTGCTCCCTCAGACCGCGACGATGCGACAAGTCAACGTTCGGATCCACCCAGCTTGCAAGCAGCCGATCCCCCTCGAACCAGTGGCCACGCTCTATGGCCCAGGCTAGCTCGTCCTCGCCGCCGGCTCGACATGGTCGCATTAGCATGAGAACATCCAAATCGTGGCCTGCCAGCAAACGCTCCGAATCCTGCCAAGAATCCAATAGGTCGAGCGGCCGAGTCTCATCCATGGAATGAAAGGTCAGGCGAGTCTCTACCACTCGAAGACGAGTAGCCATGATAGAATACAACGTATCCAAGACACTCTGCAAGGGAGCCTGCTCCCGCGGATCCACGACCAAGAGCTGCTCACCGCTCAGAGCGCGAAGTCGCAACATCTCCGAGCCTGCCGACACAGCCGCCAGCACGAGCAAGAGACGGCTACGGGGGGCGAGCGACTTCTAAGATCACCCAAGACAACACGCGTCGACAGCTCGTTTTGTTTGGAACCTCGATAGGAAATCACGGCCTCGGCCATATGGTTGCCCGCAGCCTCGCACTTTCGCAAGACAGCGTCCATGCGGTACCACGGTCATCCTGCGGCCTACATCCGTGCGACAGTGACACAGCGGCCGAAGGTCAGCCTTCTGGCCACCCCCAACGAGATGAAGCTCGCAACGAATTATGAATTTTAGACACGAAGCCCGCCTCAAAACCAATCCTCCTCAACAAAAATGCCGAAGATCTCAACGTCCTTAGTCCCGAAGCCTTGGCGAGCCATGTGCTCCATGTACTCCTCGACCGTGCATTCGAAGATTACCAAAAACAACTCCCGCACCTGTGTACGTGCGCTTGGGATGCGCACATAGTGGTACTCCAGCAACCAGAGCAATTCCGCTGCGGTGTTGTCTTGAGTTTCTGCTTCGAACTGCGCCAGCAACGCCGTCACCGAGTCCTGCATGCGGCCGCAGAAACGTCTGCGATACTCGCAGTACTCGGCGTACATTGCTGCCACATAACGCCGAACATCCCGGTCCGACGGGTACGGCCCCTGATTCTGGATCAAAGGACCACGGATCGGACACAGCAGCTGCGAGATCAGGGGCACTGACATGGCTCGCCTCCGAAAACTTCAGTGGGGACGGATTTTCAGCCTGCTGATACCCTTCGCACAGCCCTCCCACGTCGCGCTTTGAACTGCTCTTACAATCACCGAACCCGTACCAACGCTCACAGAAGCACCAAGGTCTTGACCACTGAAGAATCTCGCCGCCGACCTGGGCCGCCAGACCGATGCCCAGAACCAGCCATGAATCCAAACCAAGCCCCACACACTAAGAGACGGGTGAGACGGGTCTTATTCTACGTACACCTCGGCCTCCGGAATTTCGAACGCCTAGTTTTCTCCTTGGCCTTCTGGAGTCGCCTTGCATCTCCGCGCCTCTCCCGATTTTGGAGCAAGCCCAAGCACAGACCTCAATCCCGCCAAACGCCTGCCTCGCCAAACCCTCTTAAATTAGGGTTTGGGGTTTAGGGTTTATATAGAACCCTATAGCACCCTTTAAGGAGGCAACTCCTTCCATTTGCCGCTATTTGATGTCTCGAACGTCAAACACTAACATGTCAGCCCTACATGCCACTAGGTGGAAGTTACGCGAGAACAGGCTGATAGAGCGCGGGGCGAAAGTTGGGATCGGCAGTGCATTGGAACCTAGTCGGAGGAGAGCTCATGAGATCGCCTCCTACCCAGGGTTCGCTAAAAATATTCCTACCGCCGCAAGACACTGGGTTGGGATCTGCGGCAGTGCAAGCCTGCTTCCATGCAGGATGAGAAGAATCGAGAAGGGACTCGAATGAGAGACACGAAGGCAAGCAAACACGATGGCAGCCTAGGGAAACCCCACTACACTTTCGAGGCTCCGCTTTCTCTCTTGGATTCCACTGTGGGTCAGGGATCTTAGGGACCGAAAAAAACAAAACCTCCCGTCATGACTCGGTGCGAGGCAAAGCAGCATGGCGACCTGGGTCGCAAATGTGGCCTTCGACATCAAGCCCAGTGGCATAACCCAATCCCGAAGGGCAGAACTAGTCGGGAGCAATAATTCCGGCAGCAGGTGCAATGAAGCAACGACACAAGAAAGAGGAAGAACAGGGCTCGGCGATCCCCATTCCGGGTCGAAGTTCTCCGGATCCCACTCAGTGCTGTGGGCCGTAGAGTACCACGTGCCGCTGTTGGTGGAAAGGTTCAATCGATGTAGCCTGTAGAGGGCGTTCTCGACATGAGACCTTCGGGTGGGTGCATCGCCTTTCGCCAAGTACTCGTGTGGAGAACGTTCGCGGCGCACAGGACGGCCAAAACCAGCTCGACTGGAATCTCGTCTATCCGGTGCTCACGAACCAGAATTTGGAACTCAAAGTGCAGCGTCGTGAAGCGGCGCCCGTCCGCTCTTTTCTCGGTGGTGCTGGGAGCCCTTGTTCACATCTCGCCGTGAAGCCGCAAGTGGGGCACCCGCGGATGCAAGGATTTAACGTTAAAGCCCTGAACACTGGTCCGAATTAGAGGCCTCATCGAACTTATAGGTAGCCACCTACTGCTGCTTACGAGAGACACAGAGAGAGAGAGAGAGAGAGAGAGAGAGAGAGAGAGAGAGAGAGAGAGAGAGAAATTCTTGCGGAACCTTGCTTGCTGCGTCTGCTGCGATTCTGGTTGAAGGCCCAATAGATTCGCTTAGGGAAGCAGAACGAGTATAAAATAAACACACTCCGAAAGAGTATCACCTCCACAACCAGAAACACAATCGAACGCAATGTTCCATAGGGTCTGGCCGCGTCGACGCCACATCGTCTCAGCAGCACAACAGCACCTTTGAGCAAGGGCACGATCAGCAGAGCTTCGTCGAGCTTGATCTACGTGACTTTGTTCACATCCGCGACGCCGCTAGGTGCACGTTGTCTTGCACACAATCAACACAACGCGTCGCTGCACCACTTGCAAAATTGGAAACGGGATAAGTACAGCCCGTTACCGAGCGATTGTCTTGCTGAGGAGAAGACCGGCGGGCATCTTGCGAGTCAAGAGAACCTGAGCTGCAGCAAACGGTCTTGGAATGGATGCAAGAGAAGCAAAGAAACACACACCAATACGCACTCGCTTTCCTACTGCCACGCATTTTTTGTGCACAGCAGCCTTGCCTTGCTAACTTTGCTACACCGCGCCGCCGAACTTTCGCAAGACAGCGTCCATTCGCCAGCAGCGCGTGCCTCCAAGTTCAGAGACCCACAGCCTCGCCTTGCTAACTTTGCTACACCACACCCCCGAACTTTCGCAAGACAGCGTCCATTCGGCAGCGCGCGCCTCCAAGTTCAGAGACCCATGGTGTGCAAGCAGGCCTCCATCTCTGCGGTGAGATGCTTCCCGGCCCAGCCGCGAGCGTTCATCCTCGAAGAGACGCAGTGCACATCGAAGTTCGGGAGGCCGGCGTAGTGCTGCATGCAGCGAACGCATCCCTCACTGGCCGCGTAAAGAAATTTGTACTGGGCTTTTCGCTCTGCCGTCAGCTTGTCGTGCTTCCTTTCGAAGCCAAGGCAATGAGGCGCATCCGGACAGTCAGATCCCGGACGCTCGGTCTCAGATGCAGGCCCGGGCTCATTCCGAGATGCAGGCCTTGTCTTCGGGCCGGCAGACGGCGGCTGCGGTCCACGCCTCCCAGAGCCTGCCGCCCGCGAAGCGGTGTCATTTGCATGACTCCAAAACCCGCTGTTCGCAGAGCCGGAGGTGCCGGAGAACCACGGGGGGACATCAGCGAGATTTTTGCGATACGTTTCAAGACGAGTCATTTCGCCGGTGAGAAACTTGGTGATCTCATTCCCCGCCGGGCCGATCTTGTCTGGATGGCACCGAAGCATCATCTTTTTGTACCTGTTCCTCAGCAACTTCATGTCTACAGTCGCTGCGCATTCACCAAACACTCCAAGATGATCAAGAAAGTTCTTGAAAGATCCATCCATGTGCTCCACACACGCTGCTTTCGCAAGACAGCGTCTGCACTGCGTAAACAGAATAGCTACAATCGCACCGATCTTGAGCCAGGCTGCAAGAGACTGGCATCACGTGCAGAGCATACCCTGCGAAACATATGTGCAGCAGAGGCAAGGTGCACGCTGTCTTGGAATTGGAAAAAAAAACAAACACAAACACACAACGCGTCGCTGCACCACTTGAAAAAAATGGAAACGGGATAACTATGTGCAGCAGAGGCAAGGTGCACGCTGTCTTGGAATTGGAAAAAAAAAACAAACACAAACACACAACGCGTCGCTGCACCACTTGAAAAAAATGGAAACGGGATAACTACAGCCCGTTACCGAGCGATTGTCTTGCTGAGGAGAAGACCGGCGGGCATCTTGCGAGTCAAGAGAACCTGAGCTGCAGCAAACGGTCTTGGAATGGATGCAAGAGAAGCAAAGAAAAACGCACCGATACGCACTCGCTTTCCTGCTGCCACGCTTTTTTTTGTCGCACATCAGCCTTGCATTGCTAACTTTGCTACGCCGCGCCGCCGAACTTTCGCAAGACAGCGTCCATTCGGTAGCAGCGCGCGTCTCCAAACTCAGAGACCCATTCTTTGCAAGCAGGCCTCCACCTCTGCGGTGAGATGCCGCGCGGCCCAGCCACGAGCGTTCATCCTCGACGAGACGCAGTGCGCATCGAAGTTCGGGAGGCCGGCGTAGTGCTGCATACAGCGAACGCAGCCCTCACTGGCCGCGTACAGAAATTTGTACTCCGCTCTACGCTCTGCAGTCAGACGGCGGTATTTGTGTTCAAAGCCTTCGCAATGAGGCGCCTTCGGACAGTCAGAGCTCGGACGCTCGGTCTCAGATGCAGGCCGAGGCTCATTCCGAGACGCAGGCCTTGGCTTCGGGGCGGCAAACGGCGGCTGCGGTCCACGCCTCCCAGAGCCCGCTGCCTGCGAAGCGGTGTGATTCGCATGACTCCTAAACCCGCTGTTCGCATAGCCGGAGGCGCCAGAGGACCACGGGGGGAGATTTTTGCGATACGTCTCCAAACGAGTCATTTCCCCGGTGAGAAACTTGCAGAGCTCATTCTCCTTGTCGCCGGCCTTGTCGGGATGGCACGTAAACATCTTCCCTCTGTACTTCCTCCTCACCATCTTCATGTCTACAGTCTCTGCGCGTTCAGTAGACAATCCAAGAAGTTCAAGAAATTCCTTGAAACCTCCAGCCATGTGCTCCGCACACAGTGCTTTCGCAAGACAGCGTCCGCACTGCAAGAATAGCAACGATCGCACCGATCTTGAACCAGGCTGCAAGAGACTGGCATCACGCGCAGAGCATGCCCGACGTGCAGCAGAGGCAACCCAAAACTCCGAGTAAGGCCCGTGCAGCAAGGACTGGATGGTGGTCGCCGAAGAACAGGAAACTGCGCAGCAAAGAAAAGCAAGCGACGCCGATGCACTCGTTTGCTCCCTCACACTCACTCAGCAGCTTTTGCACACTCCGTCGGTCCAATCACGGCTCCGTGCAGAGGCTACATATATGGCCCACGAGCAGAACGTGCAGCTTTCGCAAGACAGCGTCCACTGCTCCGCACAGGGAGGCTACATATAACATATATAGCCCACGGTCAGAATGCAGCTTTCGCAAGACAGCGTCCACTGCTCCGCACGAGGACAAGACTGCACGACCTTTAGTCAACTCTACTCCTACGTGCGTCTCTGTCGCTGAAATACGATCATAAGTTCGAGTTCCGTCTTCAGCAACTCCTTCATGAGATCCGTCGCGTGGATGGTGTTCACGGAAACGATCTTATCCCCTTTCTGCACCCGCCGCACACGGCACGACGACGAGGAAGGCATCGACTCCATGAGTGCGTTGTGCGTGTCAACAAGCCCATCTGGTACGACTTCGAACACCTCCATGGTGCGAGTGACATATTTCAGTCCGATCTTACTCTCTCTGCTGTCACGATGAAGCATCACCATAAATTCTTTCTTATGGGTCCGCATTCCATGAAGCGGGGGTGGAGGCGGAGGACGATGACCGCCTCCTTGCTCGGCACCACGATTGCACAAAGCAGCCACACGCTCTCTGACGATTTCATTGCCAGGACGAGGCCGCCGCATATATAGCCCACGAGCAGAATGCAGCTTTCGCAAGACAGCGTCCACTGCTCCGCACGGGGAGGTTATCAAGGCGGTTCAGGCCAAACACTGCAGAAGTGTGTACAGGTGGAGCAGCGACATAAAACTGCTCAGACTCGATAACACACGTCGAAGCTCACAAGTAGAATATTGAATACTTGACAACACGACATGAGCCAAATCGTAGTATCAAAACACAGCAACACAGTTGCACGTCAACAGATAGGATCGGCTGCTGTGCCTTCTCCTCGCACCGAGGCAGCAGCTTCTGGACCTCGTGCAGAGAACTGCACTCATAGCACACGAAAACACGCATTTCGCTCGTGTGCAGACGCATATGTTTTTATCGTCGTCGTGCTAACCATGCGAAATGGGCTCCGCCGCGCCGGTCGAACTTTCGCAAGACAGCGTCCATTCGGCGGCTTGCGGCAGCCGGAGCTGCACTCGATCGTTAAAAAAAAACAGCAAACCAAGCCCCACCAGCGGCTCAGGCACTCTGCCACCCTTCGGAAAGGGTATATAGCAGTGTCCCGTCCTCGGAGCGCAATTCGGCACGAAGTGGCATGTGGAGACGATACCACCGGGTCCGCTCAGGTGTCTTCTCCAACAGTTGCATTTCCTTGGCGACACTTTATCCTGATCAAAACAAAAGCGCATGCTGTCGTGTCCCTGCAATTCACGAGATTTTCCAAGATGCCAGCAGCGTCATGTAGCCGATCGCGGTGAATGTGATCTCATGGGCCCGCACGGCATGCGGGTCGCCATGAAGCGTCCACTCTCCTCCCTGCCATGAATGTAAGTCGCTCTCCACGCAGCGTTGAATGGCCTCCGAACGACAGCAACTGAAACGATGCCTTAACACTTATCGCTGTGATGTATCACCGCCGAGGCGCTGTGACTGCGTCAGGACGCAATCCCCAGCGACCCCTGTGCGTACCCGCCACTTGCCCTCCGGCCAGGACTCGATCCGACTGATCGGCTGTCAGGCCCACGAAGACACGAAGTTCATTCATGGCAGAAATTGCCATTACTCACCCTGTGCTTTCGCAAGACGGCGTCTGCACAGCCCACAAACAGATCAAAGCTGCTATGCCGCTGATGTTGAACCAAGCTGCGCGAGACTGACATCACGTGCAGGGCAGAGTATCATACGACACATGCCGATCTGAGACAGCCGAGGCTCTGAATACATCCACATAAGGTCCCCGCACGAAGGCACGGATGATGCTTCCCGTAGAGTCCTTCAGCTTGCAAGACGACATGCGAGTTTCTCGACGATCGTTTCTGTTAAGAGCACAACACCGCACACAACCCAGACCTGGCTTCGCAACCTTCGGCCACGACGTAGAAGATGCCTGATCGCAAGACAGCGTCCTCCGAACTGCCGGCGCCGCGACCAGGATCCGGATCAGCAACTGAACTTCGCAAGACAGCGTCCTCCAAGTTGCTGGCGCCGGCAGCTGGACTTCGCAAGACAGCGTCCTCCAAACTGCCGGCGCCGCGACCAGGATCAGGATCAGCAACTGAACTTCGCAAGACAGCGTCCACACGAAAACACGCATTTCGCTCGTGTGCAGACGCATATGCTTTTTATCATCGCCGTGCTAACCGTACGAAATGGGCTCCGCCGCGCCGGCCGAACTTTCGCAAGACAGCGTCCATTCGGCGGCTAGCGACCCCTGTGCGTACCCCCCACTTGCCCTCCGCCCAGGACTCGATCCGACTGATCGGCTGTCAGGCCCACGAAGACACGAAGTTCATTCATGGCAGAAATTGTCATTACTCACCCTGTGCTTTCGCAAGACGGCGTCTGCACAGCCCACAAACAGATCAAAGCTGCTATGCCGCTGATGTTGAACCAAGCTGCGCGAGACTGACATCACGTGCAGGGCAGAGTATCATACGACACATGCCGGTCTGAGACAGCCGAGGCTCTGAATACATCCACATAAGGTCCCCGCACGAAGGCGCGGATGATGCTTCCCGTAGAGTCCTTCAGCTTGCAAGACGACATGCGAGTTTCTCGACGATCGTTTCTGTTAAGAGCACAACACCGCACACAACCCAGACCTGGCTTCGCAACCTTCGGCCACGACGTAGAAGATGCCTGATCGCAAGACAGCGTCCTCCGAACTGCCGGCGCCGCGACCAGGATCCGGATCAGCAACTGAACTTCGCAAGACAGCGTCCTTCAAGTTGCTGGCGCCGGCAGCTGGACTTCGCAAGACAGCGTCCTCCAAACTGCCGGCGCCGCGACCAGGATCAGGATCAGCAACTGAACTTCGCAAGACAGCGTCCACACGAAAACACGCATTTCGCTCGTGTGCAGACGCATATGCTTTTTATCATCGCCGTGCTAACCGTACGAAATGGGCTCCGCCGCGCCGGCCGAACTTTCGCAAGACAGCGTCCATTCGGCGGCTTGCGGCAGCGTGCCTACCCCCCACTTGCCCTCCGCCCAGGACTCGATCCGACTGATCGGCTGTCAGGCCCACGCAGACACGAAGTTCATTCATGGCAGAAATTGTCATTACTCACCCTGTACTTTCGCAAGACGGCGTCTGCACAGCCCACAAACAGATCAAAGCTGCTATGCCGCTGATGTTGAACCAAGCTGCACGAGACTGACATCACGTGCAGGGCAGAGTATCATACGACACATGCCGGTCTGAGACAGCCGAGGATCTGAATACATCCACATAAGGTCCCCGCACGAAGGCGCGGATGATCCTTCCCGTAGAGTCCTTCTGCTTGCAAGACGACATGCAACTCACCGCACACAACCCAGACCAGGGTTCGCGACCTTCGGCCGCAACGCAGAAGATGCCTGATCGGATTCCGGGGTGT